TAATAAAACGCCTTATCTCGCCTTAGCTTAAATGCTAAAATTTCAATACGAAATCTACTTGTTAATTATACATATAGCCTACACTTTGCCTTACAAACTGAAGTTAATACCAGATGTATTTAACTTTTGCTCCACAATTAGTGTTGCACTCGACTGTGTGCTAGAAAAACGTCCAATGTGACCTGACCTGGCTTACCGCCGCTGTCCGAGCATTTCTATAAATATATAATATGTATGTTGCTAAACAAAAGCAACAACAAGCTTGTAACACAAGCTTAATGGAGGTGGAATTTCACGGTGATTAGATAATGTATCGTCTCCGTCATATGTACCATATGAGACATCATAGTAAGACCTCGCCGTGCGCTGTGGGCAGTCGTAACCGCTGTAACTAGCGCCACTAGCTCTAACAAATTAATTACGTGGACTGTTATGTGCGTCCGTCCGCACGTAACACTCCTCGTGTAGAATCGCCCGTAAAACTACCTTCGTATTGTTTATTGACTCACACAACATGTGTTCTTAACTAGCGAACACTAAACGACTCGTCGTCTTTGTTATCCAAGTCACTCAATTAAACCAAATATTCCACTCGAGCCTACTTTATGAAAATTTCAATAAACCCTTGCCCCTGCCCCGCTCCACCCGCCCTCCAAAGCACCTATCTCTCATCTGTCGCTCGGGGCCGGGAGGTCGGAGTACGACGCACAGAATAGCAAGGCATTATTTATAGCAGCTTGACGTGGCATGCTCCGCGGCCACAAATACCACGCGAGATGACGCAAGCACAATCAGCGGGATAATCTTACCCGCCGCCCGCCGCCCGCAGCCCGCAGCCCACCACCGGGAGCGACCAGCCAGGTCTGAGCCCCGGCTCATCAATGAATTTCCTCGTGATGAGAACAATTTTTAATATAGTCCGGGGGTGTGGGGGCTCAGGGTTGCTAAGTCGGAATTCTCGCAGGTGGTCGCTTCGCATGCTATTTTTGCTGCACTATCGACCCATCTCCGACGCCATGTCACAGCTAAGTGGTCACGCCGCCGTGGTGCGGGGTGCGGGGTGCGGGGAGCGGAAGGAGGTTATATTTTATTTATTGCTATCGCGTCGAAGCCGGTAAATGTCGCCGAGACTTAACATTTAAACAAGTTCGAAGATAGGGTAATTTGACAATTACAGTAGATTTTTTTAAAAGGTAATTAATAGGTTGTAGGTAATTTAAATAATATAACAGCGCAAGCAATGTACGCAGCTAAAGCAACATGAAAATGAAAGTTAACGTTTTACATAGAAAAGTGTCCGACAGGCAGAGGTCGCGCGGTGCCGGCGGCGGCGCGAATCAATTTACCTGACGTCGTTACGCTACTTAAACTCATCAGGGTCGGAAACTCATTTCATCCTGTTCCACTCGCTTATACTTATTTACGTTCAGAGAGTGTCAGCCTCGCCGCGGCTACTCCACGCTGGCTGCACAGCTCCACACATAGTGTGGGATTTTTTTGAGAATCTACAAGTTAATGCTTCGCTTATTTTAACTGTTTACTCAACTAACTTTATTGTATACATAGTGTGTAATCCCACCAGCATATCTACGAGTAAGTCTATTTTAATCGGTTGCTAAGTGCACACTGAATTAGACACAAATACATGGACCGCATATTTGTAAGTTCGACGCCGCTACAGTTGTGCGACTCGTCTCGTGTGGTCGCGCGCAGCACTCGGTCTCAGCGTCACAGCCTATATGCTGTGGTACATCTCGCGCCATCTAGCGCCGCAACTTCACAACTAATTCCCGCGGGAACTGTTATCGACCTGGAAATAATTTGTCTGCAAAACAATTCCGGACACGTCGCTAGTGCAGCACTACAACATTACATTCTAATGTAATTGCAAGAAGAGCAGTCGATTTAAATGTTTGCATCGCTCGCAATAGTGCGTTGTGTAATAAAGTGCCGGTGACAGGAATCAAAGGAAAATGTTTGTTAACAGTTGCGTCCCAACAATCATTTGTCACATGAAATCCAAGTTAGTACACGAGGCTTCTTCACTTATTTTATGCACAAAATATTGTTGAAATGGATTTTAATAACTGGTCCCGCTGCGCTGACGAGTGCCAGGGTGGCGAGGAGGCGGGCGCGGGGAGCGGGAATGGTAACAGAAAGCATGTTGTCGCGTCACACGCGCTGACCGCGCACACAAATTTACATAATTTGCGAATGTAAACAAGTCGGGCATATAAAACGTGAACAAAAAATAATCGTATCGTGTCGCGGCCCAAGCTTCGTGCTCACACATGCGCCATAAATCAGCGCCCAATGTCCTGCCAGATATGTCCTGCCAGACATGACACAGAATATCATCCTGTGTGCAGAGACATGGCGGAGGACATTATAACGTGTAAATTGAGTTTTATTTTGATTGTGTGAAATTGCGAAATAATAATAAGTCTTATTGTAAGGTGTAGTGACACAAAATATGCTTGTACATGTATGAATGGCTAGGCCGTGGCCAGTACAGAGGTGTGCAGGCGGGCATGTGCACTGTCCTGCAGCCCTGTCCTCTCACTCTCAACAAACGAACGCCCTTTAATTACCGCCGCGTCGTCGTCTCACCAACGTCCCGCACACGGATCACGCAGATCCACGTCAACGTCACGTAGCCTGACATCCCACGACACGTCACGTCACACTAACACGTTACGTTGCAGGGTCCCAAGTGGCATAATGCCACCGAAAGATTTTTATTGTGATTTAATGTTAGTAACATTATCAAAGTTAATTACAATACAATAACGTCATAGAGTACAATTAAATGTTTATTTAAGCAAAGATACAAATGTTAAATGTAATCATTATACTACAGACAAGGACAAACGATACGCAGGAAAATATTAAAGGTTTGACAAGAATACAACGTATTATTATTATCTTTATTTAAAATAATGCACATTGTTATTGTTTGTTATTTGTTGTAATACTTTCATTGAGGTATTGTTGTTATTTCCTACGTTTCAAATATTCCATTGTTTAGGAATATTCACTTCCCGAGCATTAGCTGTGAATTGTGTTGTAAAACTAAACAAATGCAAACACAAAAGAGAAATAAAATCAGTACAAATGTTAATTGAATAATTGAAAGGCAAAGGCAGGTTATGATGAGAGTATTACGATTTTGGTAAGACGTTTCACTTGTACATAATTAAAGTAATGTGAGCCAGCAGCAGGCATCAAAGCAATGTGTAAAGTGTGACAAACTATGTGTGAACTGGAAAGCGCGGCGGCACTCGACCACTGTCCAACTTGTGTGTGGATCAAGTTCACATTGTTATACAGAAGGATACTTACTTATCTGCTTTAAGTTACAACTCAACAAGTACTTACTTGATACTTACACCGGTATACAATACGTGGCTTGTGCTTATGTTCCTTTGTTAGAATTACATAAATTAATCTAAATATAGTATATAGTGGTGTTGTATGCATTATCATATCATTTCTATGACATTTATTTTCATTTAAAAAATAATATTTCTTTCGAGTGTACGTTACTTTGTAGCAATTGTCAGTTTAGATACATTTAAAGTTGGAGCATGTTATACACTTTGAAGGAAAACATGTTTTTTGCCTTCTTTGTACTCCCCCCCCCTCCCAAACACACACCCACACCCACACACACACACACACACACACACACAAGGCAGACGGGGAGCTAGTGGGGGAGACACTAATGCGATAATCTGCTTATAGCTAAACATTCTCAAGTGATCCGGCCCAGGCGCTAGGGCCAGGGCAAACAACACTCACATCCATCAATCGACATGACACCGCTCTCTCTATGTATTATATGATACATCTACCTAGATATATGTATTATATGTATGTACTGACAAGTTATCTGAAACATGATAGGGATCAACATTTCATATAATTGCTTGTAATAACGGATTGAATGCAAACATTTCATCAACCATTCGATGTAAATAATGAGTGTAGCGAATTACAGATTAAATAACAAAGTAAACAGTTTGCCGGCGAGCTGCGGCGGCGGCGGCGATGTTTGCTTCGCATTTAATTAATTAAGTTAGTTGTAGGAGTAGTTTGCGTCGTGTCCGGTGTCCGGACATGATAATAAGACGAGGATGTACACACGTGTTGGAGACATTTAAAAATACTCGTAGAAGATAAATATTAGGACTATCTATTAAAAACCATTTTGTCAATTAAGCTGTAATTTTGTATAACTTTGGAAAACATCATGCTTTGAAAATAATAAAATGTAAAGTCCCATAGAGAAGACGGCATCACTTGAGCATTGTGTCCGCTGCAGAGCGTTGCAGCGCGAGCGCGAGCGCGACGCGACTCGACTCGATGCTCTTGTACGTTTTCAATTAAAATGAAAGAAAGAGCACAGCGCGGCTATTCATTGTTCGCAAACAATTGTTGTTTTACAAACAAATTAAAAAGCGACTGCAACGGTACAGCACACCGTTGCAGAATGCTCCGACACCGACAACGCATTGACCTACTCACACTTTAATAAGCCTAAAAGTCAACTTCAGATTTAGTACATCATCCTAAAAATCAAATAAACACGTAAAATATCGTTATAAATTAAAAAAAAAAACACACTACCATGATCTTATCTACCGTACCTACCTTAGGCATAAAGAGAGGCAATCGATATTCAGGTGAACAAACAGTAGAAGTGAAATGGAATAATTCGAGAGGTGGACCTCGATGGAACCGCGTAATGGAACCACAACACAGGTCCTAACTAAATAACACGGACACGCACAAAGAAGTACAAATGACTAAATTGTAGCGACAATGTTTGCATGGATTAAACGCATGTTATATTTACTTTTGCCCCTTCGCCCCGGCGGTGCCCCGGGGTTGCGAGGTACACCAAGCATTACTCTATGACAACGACGTCAGAGCTAATGACTCTGTCGTCAGTTAGGTTACCCTGTCTTTAATTAAACCAATGTGTTCTATTGTTACAGATGCGTGTGTGTGTGGTCGCAGTGAGCGCGGCCGCGGCGTTGCTGGCTCTGCTGGCGTCGCCGGCAATCGCGCTGGACGGCCCGCAAGATGCCGCGATGGACGTCGCGCAGGACGCCGCACTGGATGCCGCGTTGGACGCCGCTCTGGACCGCAAGGACGAGGCGGCTCTCGCACAGGTAAGCCACCACTGGTATGCATTTGGACATCCTTATACTTGAAGCATTCTGAGCGTCCCGGTCTCATGTAACAAGAGGAATTGAACGTAAAGCATTTTTTTGTACGGGCTTTAGACCTACTCGTGAATACTGATGAACAGAAAACAAACGAATATCCATATGTTCCTAAGGATCTCTACTATTTTTTTCAGTAATAATATTATGAATTTCAAGGTTTTTAAGGGAAATACACTGTGAATATGACACAAAAATCATTTATTTTAAGGACATCGGCCGTATCTAAATGTAAAGTAATGTAAATGAAGAAAACACATATATACGAGTATATGAATTAGACGTGACAAAAAGAAAATGACAGTAATTATATTACATTCTTTTTTCAATATTTTACATCTACATAGTCTGTGGGCCCAAAAAACTAAGGCCTTTCATGTCAAATTTACCAAAGTATACAAAGCGTTTCATCAAAAACGTTGTATGTAGACGACGACGTACAAACAACTCCGAAGATTAAATGTTCAATACAAACCCGACCGTGTAATATCTGAGAGTATCACAAGACAGAGCGGGGGCGGGGGCGGGGGCGGGGGCGCGTGTCCCTTGGCAAACAGACAAACATGCAAACCCGGCCGAGGGCCGAGTTCAAGGGTTGCGGCGCGGAGATAAGGGCGCGCCACACGACCGCCTTCGCGGCAAATGTTCAGATAGTGTGGCAGGCAAGCATTACGACTCATATCAAACTTATTGCCTACGTATGTATAAACATACACGGCCTAGACATCGGCGTCGTAGTTTGTCATAAAATATTCTTAGAAACTATAAAACAGAATAGATTCTTTCGTTCTTTTACGCATTTAAATGAAACGTATTTTTACGTTTGATTTAAATGCAATATTTATAGAATAGTTGTGGTATGGGCAGTATTATTATCACCAGATGGCTACCGGGAGCGGAGGCAGCGGGGCAGACGCGATGCGTGCTTCCGTATTCCAATTTGCCTTATCAACCCTCTGGTCACAGTAATGCACGCGTCTTATATTCTTGTGATGTTCCACATGGCGGCGATGTCCTACAAGTTGAGATACTGTTAACTTTTGTGATTCTTTTACACAGACAAGGAAAAGAGTCTTATTGTAGAAAATAACTGTAATTCTAAACCAAATAAAAAAGAGATCAAAAGATATTCAGAATGCATAGTTGCTGCTACAGCGTCTTTATGTAGACAAACTGTACGCAAATCATGTTCCTACATGCATAGAGTGGAGCGATTTTAACCTAACTATTTTAAAAGAAAGCTTACTGTATTACGATAGAGGGAATACAACGGTTATAGCGTTGAAGACTCTAAAAATTGTCATCTTATTGAAAATTCAGCGTTATAATAACAAGTTAGTAGAATCAATACACCGTATCGATGCAATTGCAAGGATTTAAGAGCTCGTCTGAATGTCTTAAGCTCGAGACGCAATATCGAGACCGCATGCAGCCCCGCAACTGCATGGCTCGCCGTCGCCGCTTTGTTCCCGCGCTGTAGCCGGTGCAATCGATGTGCCCTCATGTTCTCGGGTCGACGAATCTTTACACTTTGATTTCTCCTTTAAGCAATCGTTGGATAATTCGCTCGTATCAGCAGTTTAGAGATAAAAGCTTTTCTTGTGATACCATTTTCTTATATGAGACATTATCGAACCCCGACGTCTTTATTAGGATACCGTAGTAAAGTGCACGGATAGTGATTCGAGGATCGGGTTTCGAATCCCGATTAAATTGAATAGGTCCAATAATTAGTACGTTGTGGAGCAGGATCAGATGAAGCCAAGTGTGAGATTAACAATACTAACAACTTGCTGCCGCCTTCATCAGAATTTCACCGATCATCTCGTCCTGTAAAATTGCGACAATTTGCTATCATAAAATCTACGTGTGAAAAGAATATATTTGTGTGAAGTGGCTAAACGAAATGGCTTTTTAAAATTAAGTTAATGTTTAATTTTCGCTTGTGGAACCAGCCGAGCCGGCGGCGAACCTCCGCGCCCACAGCACCCCCGGTCGCACCTCACCCCTCAGCCAACTCATTTTTACGACGTCCCAAACTGAAATTATTACTTTTGGCGACGACATAACTTGTAAAGGGTTAATAGTGAATTATAGCTGGATCCGTTCTAACTGTCGTTTTATTGTATGAAGTGTGAGTATGTACTGCATACACACACACACATACACACAACATCAGTTTTCAATAAAATTGTATTAAGTAACATTTAATTTGATTATACAAATACGTGTAACATATTTACATAGCTCTTCAATTTATGTGAGTATATCCTACCTCTGCTATATCAATAGCATATAAAAGTCAACTAGACAGGACCAAGTCCGAAAATAAGCTATACATTTATTCAAGTTGTACAAATCCATTTTGTTTTTCAGTAAATAGGTCGCAAGAATGTCTGTTTCATTGTTCGCTCCATTTCACATTTTACAAACGTATTGTTCGCGTACCGCGAAGGGCGAGGGCCGCGCGGTGGGAGGCGGGGGGGCGTTTGGGCGGAGTCGATCACTTAAACACTTCGGCTGCTCAAGTGATGGTAGCGGGAACGCGGTCAAGGTGCGGTGCGACTTACAGCGGATCGCTGAGGACACGTTGCGGCGCAGCGCGGACCACATGATAATTTATCTAGAGCAAAAAAGCTTCCTTAAAAAAATATTATCCACATTACCGTTTATGTTCTTAAAAACAAATAGAGAAGCTATCGAACGCAGGTTTTTTCAAATTGAAATTAAGGTTATATTGACTTATTCGTTGGAAGTTAACGTACAGTATATGAATTGAGTAACTAAAAGCGGTTACAAAACTTTTTTATAACCTTAATTACATTACATTTCACATCATCATCATTTCACATTACAAATTTCATATCTAATTATGCGATCCATTATTTATACACGATCACAACGATGACCACAAGGCCTTTAGAAGGCCAAAAAATCTTTGGTTCAGAGTAAGACCGCGCACAGTGAGTACACACCCAAGCGCGCAATTAACATTCTCTATCGGATCGTTTTAATTGAACAAAACAACTTCTCGCGCCAAGTGGTGCGGCAGTAAGTGGCGGCGAGTCCCCGCCAGCCTCCGCCAGCCCCCGCCAGTCCCGCCAGTCCCGCCACCCGCGGCAGCCACCGACACAAAGGCTCTACTGGCCAGGCGCACTCTCAACCAACACAAACATTAATAAATGATAAAGTCAAAAGAGTCATTGAATGCAATGTAACGCAGTTTCACTTACTTTTTAATAACTGTACAAACTTCGCATTCTTGATTTCTCTTGGTCGTTAAACTGCAACATGGAGACCGAGGGGTGGCAGCCCACGTCTTTTGTCGTTGCCACTTATTATTTCTTATTTGGTTCATAGGCAACTGATATGTTCAGTTGAGAAAAAGAATAAAAGCACACCTACAACTAAGTTACAAAATGCGTAGTTTGTAAACAGACATTTTTTTCAGATGGATGCTGACTTGGAATTAACGGACGAAGAAAAACGAGCGTGGTCCAGCTTACACGGTGGTGGCGGGTGGGGGAAGAGAGGTTGGCAGGACATGAGCTCCGTGTGGGGAAAGCGAGCGTGGCAGGACCTCAATACCGCTTGGGGCAAGCGCGGTTGGCAGGACCTCAACTCGGCGTGGGGCAAACGGGGTTGGCAGGACTTGAACTCGGCCTGGGGAAAGAGGGGCTGGCAAGATTTAAACTCGGCGTGGGGCAAGCGAGGATGGCAGGATCTCAACTCGGCGTGGGGCAAACGCGCGTTGAACGACATGAACCAGGCTCCCTGGGAAAAGAGGGGATGGCAAGACATGAGCTCGGCATGGGGCAAGCGTAGTTGGCAAGACATGAGCTCGGCATGGGGCAAGCGCGGTTGGCACGACATGAGTTCCGCCTGGGGCAAAAGATCACCAACTGTAAGTATATGCTATTGCATATTATACAAAGTTTTTTATTCAACTTAGCTACAATTGCAATCCATTGCTAACAATATAATTTTTATTGATCAGTCGAAATGGGCAAACTTCCACGGCTCGTGGGGCAAGAGGACAGTGACGGAACCTGAAATTGAAGATTACGAAATGGCAGTCGAATCTGTAGTTCCCATCCGACAAGTAAGCTAAAGAAAGATCTTTGTGATGCACGACTCACCGCTTCACTGGCGATGACGACGCTGAATCGTTCACATTGCGAGGTAACTTGTTGTTGAACCGACAATTAAATATTTGTGTGATAAGTGTTCGTTGTATGCAGGTTGAGGAGGCGGCTGACAAGGACATCTTGGAGCATCCGGAGAAGAAGGCGTGGTCCGCTTTGCACGGTGCCTGGGGCAAGCGGCCCGCCAAGCAGCCCTACGCTAGCGGTATGCTCTTCTGCTTAAATATTTTAAAATTACGTATGAATTAATTTTGGTGCAAATGTATTTTATACGAAGTCTAAATGCACGTGTTACTCAATAGTAAGGAATAAAAAAAAAACAAAAGTTCTCCGGATAGGGAGAAACTAAAAGTGGCTAAGGGAATACTAAAAGATCGAACGAAGATTGACAAAAAGAAACGGTATTACAAAATTTATGGATCGTTCATAAAAGATTCATAACAAATTGGCTTTTTAAATTGAATCGTTGGAAACAAATGGCCCGATGCAAGAGCAGAGGGCAAGAGGCGAGGTGGGGGGAGACAATACTCGGCCTCCCCGTGCACTGATTGATGCGGCTTCTAAGCCTACGTTATTTCAATTGATCGGCAGCTCGGAGCGGTCGCCACCGTCGACACAACTCGCTCAATTAATACTGATTAAGGTAACCGATACGACGCGACGTTTGGCAATTGCCAAACTTAAAAACCAATTGGAGGGAAACGAGCCGGCCATTAAACAATTTATTTCTTTCAATTAACTTAAATTTAAAACCTTAGTAGGATTTTACTTTTAGACGTAAACGTAAAGAAAAACGTTTTATATTTGAATACTTAAGTAAGTACTGTATTCTACTATTATAATTTGAGCGTCGCGTCACTTTGTACCTCGTCCAGAATATTGTTTGTCGTATGACATCATTCTGTCATTGTCAGATAAGTGACTGAATGTGTTGGCAGCACAGGAAGAGATGCGTATCCTAATAAACAATATAACGGCGAAACGATGCAAGGCAGAATGTTCGGATGGTATCGATGTCATCCCAATAATATTGCAGAAAGCTACTTAAAGTGACGCAGCAAGTCCAGGAATATTCTCGAAGTCGATGTTCACTTTCAATGGCCTCGACAAACGATCTCAATCTCAATGAGCTGGCTTTGAATATTTCTCTTTAGGACATTTAGCGAAATTCAATTTCGGTTATTAAATTTTAAATTAAATTCGAACTTATTCAGTAATAAAAATGTTAAGCGAGTAATATTGAAATTAAATATTTTCTCTTTTTTTTGTGTATTACCTGTTTTAAGGCAAGTTTCAATGATTACGTTTAGGAAATGTTATTTAAATTAGATTGTGCAGCTATAGGGCAAACTGTGAATAATGGTAAGTTGTAAAATGAATACGTCGAATGTGAGAATTAACGAAGAGACAAAATAAACCAACAGGATCATATTACTGGAAGCGGGAGCCGGGCTGGACGAACTTGCGCGGCATGTGGGGCAAGCGCGCGGACTGGCTCCCCGAAATACACGTCATTACTATGGATGAGCACGGTAACCTGCCGTGGGGCGCTGCTGCTCTCACGCGCACCACACCTCTCTACTACCCCATGCACATTAGCGCCACCTGTCGCACTCGCCTCTCGTTCTATTCTCTATCTCTATCTGTCTCGATGTTCCCTTCACTCTCCACTTGGCCAAGTCACGCTGATTGTTAGTCGTATTATAGACAAGGAGTCAGGGTAGCGTAGCTTAGAACTGCCTCACTGTTAGCCCATAGGTTTTGTGTTTTGTAAGTCCTTGAAAGTGTTAAGTAAGCATATTAAAAACCTCCTTTGTAGTAATGAATAATTCAATCCAGTAATTTTGGAGACAATGTATAGTAATGAATACCTACCTACATGTATGTATGTATGTGTCACTGTATGTACTCGTGTATTACGTAGCTCTTCTTTTTCGTTGTGATGTTATATTTTCATGTTAGTACGTAGTATTTATGTACGTTTTTTTTTAATATTAGTGCTTTGTATTATTGTCGTTTGCTTTCGATTTTAAAACGGTTCGTATGAAAATAATATTTGAAATAAGTAGCTCACAATTTAAGCGTGTCTAAAATAAAAAAAATAGAAGAAAGTGAGCTTGCAGCTCCGAGATGTGAACACACGGCATTACAGGAACACTCCCCAGTTCCCACTGCAATAAAATGAACTTACAATAAGTACGATCTCCAAACTGTGGTCGATACCAAGTTATATAATACATTAATAAATAAATATAACGTCTGTATTTGAATTAACAAAGAAATCGAAAAAATCGTACGTGTAAGCATTAATTTTATAAACTTAACTTACATTAAATATGTTATGGATTGTTATGTGACGTTAAATCTTGAAACATGACTAGATATTTAAATTGAATTTAGAGATAATCTTATTTCTTTTAAAGTAGATCAAATCATTTCAAGGTGTTGATTCCATTCAGTAGGCGAAGCGTGCAAGTTGTGAAGGCAATCGTCCCCGCCGGTTTGCGGTAATTAATACGCAGCCGGGCGCGGGCATCGCATAGAAAGCGCGGGAAATGTCCCGCCATTCGAGCAGCCAGCGACCCCCCCCCCCC